AAGCAGTGCGTAAAGCCCAGGAGGAGCTTGCCAAACAGAAGGAAGTGATCATGGCTCAGGACAAAGAGCTCAAGGTGAATACAACTTTGCTTTTAATGCTTTGGGTTGTAACCTCCTATATTATAAGACCTTTTAAAGTAAAATAAACGTAGAATAAATTTAGTTTGGCTGGAAGTTACTTCAAACATAGTCTGTTGTGGGGCTCTGAGCCACCCCTGTAATATCTACTTGGGACAGTTGGACTTTTCTCTTTCTATTTCATACTTTAATTGTGTAGTGTGCTGACTAATTTAATGCTTTGAATTCTAAAATGTGACTCTTTGTTTGATCATTTCCATCCAATTGAAATGTCCCAGGGGAAGAGCGCAGAGGCCAATAAAATAAGGGAGCAGAACAACGAAGTCCAGCTGAAGATCAAGGAGCTGGAACACAACATTAATAAGCACCGCAAAGACAGCCAGGACGCCGCTGACAAGGTACACACGGTTCATTTGCTTCAGACAGACCTTTTCACTCACTCACTCACTCACTCACTCACTCACACCTTTTTGTCATACTTTCTTCCTCCAGGTGTCTCGGATGCTGGAGGAACACGACTGGATCCACTCGGAGCGTCAGTTCTTCGGCCAGCCCAACACCTCTTATGACTTCAAGATCAACAACCCTCGTGAGGCTGGCCAACGGCTGAAGAAATTGGAGGAGACCACCACCAAGCTGGAGAGAAACGTCAACAAGAGAGCCATGAACATGCTGAATGAGGCAGAAGAAAGGGTGAGGACAGAGACCTGGAGAGGGTTTTGCAAAAACTACACTTTTACAGCTTTGAACGTCTTCATCCGGCTCACACAACCTTCATCCCCCTTATAGTACAATGACCTGATGAAGAAGAAGAGGATCGTGGAGAACGACAAAGCAAAAATCTTGCAGACCATTGAGGAGCTGGACCAGAAGAAGAATGAGGCTCTCAACCTGGCATGGCAGAAGGTCTGCTCTCTTTCGGCAAATGATTTATTTTCCTATCTTTCAGCTAACATCGTGGCTAGGGCTGCAGCTAAGGATGATTTTAGTATTCGAAGCTTCTATAGATTATTTCAATGATTCATCGATACGTCATTTAAGAAGTACTTTTGCTTGGTGGTTTTGTTGTGGCGTTCACGCTACGTGACTGATCGGTGACAGACACACACACACACACACACCACACCACACGCACACCACACGCACACTCTACAGGAGCTGACAGCGGCTGTCACCCAAGGAAGGTCTCCAAACCACATTTTGTCAAGAAAACAAAGGGGAAATGAGCGGTCCTGCACACGAAACAGCTGTTTATTATAAAGATAACAGTTTTATAAAGTCAAAGAATATGGGTGAAAGGATGGATTAGCACAGGCAGGTAGCAGGGATTGTCTGAGCTACAGAGAGAGCTGGAGGGGAGTTAAAAGGTGCAGCTCCCGACACCCACTTAACGCATGACTGTGAGGTTACAACTTAGGGCCCAAAAAGGAGAAAAACAAACGCACGTGTGCACATTTTCAGCTGAGGTCTGCGGCTTACTTTCGCTAACTTCAACAAAACAATCAATCATGATTTCAGCTAAATGCTAAAGTTGCTTTCTGATAAGGTGCCGTCTGCTGTTGCCAAGGCGACATAAATTTAGTTTTACGGTGGATGGACGGTAACATTATAGAGTTGTTGTTTTCTTTAGCTTGAAATAATCCCATGCTTGGGACACTTTCTTCTTTGTCCCTCACTATTTTCTCTCTCTTCCTCCACTTTGCAAACAGCGGCATTATACATCGTGTTCACAGCGTAAGCGCGATGTGCGACAGTAATAAATTGCTGTAAAATTACATGGATTAAACAAAGCATCGATGCAAAGAATTTGTGTCGAAGCATTTTATTAATCGATTTTATCAATATAATTGAATCGTTTCAGCCCTAATCGTGACTATGTATACTGAGGGACAATATGCACTTAGTTGCCATTTTATAAGGCACACCTAATTAAGACCAGTGCAGTCTGCTACAACACTGCTGCAATAAAATAGTGATAGGTGTTTCTATTTAATTTTTTTTCAACCAAATTTATATCAACGAGGGTAGACTAAATAACACGCACATCTTTCAGTATAGCGCACTACAGCTCAACAGCACCACAAACTGCAGCCTCCAAAATGACCACAGTTGAAGGAACACCTCTAAAAATTAACCTTCATGAAGTATTTATTGCACGACTGTTGTTTTATACTGCATTAATTTTACCTCTGCGTACCTAATAATAAATGGGAAACTGAGTGTAAATTTGTCAACATGACATTTTGTCATACTATTTATATTTTAGTCTCTTTTTATATATATCTGTGTTTATTAGAAAAATATTGCAAAGAAATGAGCAGGACTGCTTTATGATATTGTTAGATTTTGAAACACCTTCAACTGTCAGATATTTAATTTGCTGGATTCGTCAAAAATGGACACTCCCATCTCTTCATATTATTCAAAAACCATACAGAGATGTAAAACTGCATATACTATGAAGAATTTATCCATATTTCCCACCTCAGTGTTTTATCAAACGGACTTCTTGTGCCTATACATCTCTACTCTTTATTTTTGCTCATTTAAAATGCTCGTAGCTCATCTATGGTAGTGTGTCAATAACTGTCACATCAGTGGACCCAAAAGTGTCATGGTGGTTGAAATGCATTTGAAGCTTATTTTCTTTGTCCCGTGGATTTGGACCTCACTGTAGTGCCTTGTATTTATTGCTTTTACTTCAGCTGTGATATTTCCCTTCCTCTGCAGGTAAACAAGGACTTTGGCTCTATTTTCTCCACTCTGCTGCCAGGGGCGACTGCTAAGCTAGCTCCTCCCCAGGGCGGTGGTGTCTTGGAGGGCCTTGAGTTCAAGGTGGCCTTGGGCAACACCTGGAAGGAGAACCTCACTGAGCTCAGGGTGGGCAGAGGTCAGAAAAAAAAATAAACTTGTTTTCTTTATTTTAAATGGTAGCCTAAGTGTGAATGTAAAGGTTTCCATGCATGATAATGAAGTCGGTCACTTTTACTGAGCACCCTCTTTGTGTCTGTGTTTTCAGATCACTGGTGGCCTTGTCTCTCATCTTGGCCATGCTGCTGTTCAAACCCGCTCCCATCTACATCTTAGATGAGGTGGATGCTGCCCTGGATCTATCGCACACGCAGAACATTGGACAGATGCTGCGCACACATTTTAGACACTCCCAGGTATGTTGAAACATGTACATGTTTACTACATACTGTACTGTACACACTCACCGCAACTCTAAGCAAACATGTACTCAAGATAACTTTTATTTAAATTCTCTCCCTGCAGTTTGTGGTGGTGTCCCTAAAGGATGGCATGTTCACCAACGCCAACGTCCTGTTCAAGACAAAGTTTGTTGACGGCATGTCCACAGTTTCACGCACTGCCCTCAGCCAGAGCGATGCCAACCTTCCCCAGAAAGTCCAAGACAAGGCTCGTCAAAAAGACAAGCGGAACAAGCAGCTCATCAGCTAATCATTGCACTGAAATAGCTCAGCAGTCGCCCTCTAAATTTGCTTTGGGATTTTTTTCTTTTTTTTTTTTTTTTAAAGACCATATCACGTAACATAACAAAATGTGGTATGTTAATCGCTTCTGATCAATTGTATATACTGCTAGTGCGGTTTTTATTCTGTGGCCATTGCACTCTGCGATTCTTTCAACTGTGTAAGTGTGGTGTTACTTCACATTTTTGTGTATTTTAAAACCTTTTAACTGTAAATTTGTTTTGTCTGAATCTTGGTTATCCTTTTGTTTTTCTATGTTCATGCTCTTTTTCTACATCTTCTTACCAGTTTTATCTGCAGCAAATGTGTCCATATATTTTAGTAAATAAAGCAGGTCTAATATGAACCTTTTGACCCACTGTCATGTCATAAAACTGCTTTACAAATTGGACGAAAGCAAAAGTGTAGGATTTGTACAATGTTGGCGCCCCTTAGTGGTAGTATGAAGTACACTGGAAGACAGCAATGCACAGTAACTGGCTATGAAAGAGACTTCTTTATTCGCAAACAAATATCCTACAATGACATTCACTGCCAAGTTGATACTAATTTGACAGGAGGGTTATAAAACACGGGCGGCGTGGTGGTGCAGTGGTTAGCACTGTTACCTCACAGCAAGAAGGTTCAAAACCCTGGTTGCCTCAGCCTTTCTGTGTTGAGTTTGCATGTTCTCCCCGTGTCTGCATGGGTCTTCTTCCTCCCACCGTCCATAGACATGGAGGCTAGGTTAATTGACTCTAAAATTGTCCTTAGGTGTGAGTGTGCAATGGACTGGCAACCTGTCTAGAATGTACCCCGCCTTTCACCCGATGTCAGCTGGGATAGGCTCCAGCCCCCCACGACCCTGTACACAGGATAAGCGGTTGATGATGGATGGTTATTACCTAACTCAAATATACATTATTGCATATATTTTGAAAAGCAAATCTTAGAAATAAGTTATAACTTGATTCATATATTTTTTTTCATGTCAAAAGTGGCAGTATTTTCCAGCTCAGCCTTCAAGTAAAGTGCAAATGCAAGCTGAAACACACTATTGTGAACATACAACTAAATTGCATGATAGTGCTTTTCAGTGAAATTTGACAACTTGTTGCTTTGATTTTAAACTGTAAATATATAAACATGATTCTGTATTAAGAAAAAAAGAGTCACTTATCCAAATAGTCAATGTAGTTTTATTTTATCGGGGACAAATTCAAACAATACATCACTTTCAACTGAACAGCAGGATTATTTATTTATTCTCATACTTGTCAAAATTGGCTGTTGTCTTGCTCATTTACCTTGCAAAGAGTAGAAACAACGCCTCAGTCCTTTCACCACTACGCAGCAGCAGCGGTAAAAGAGCGAGGAAGAGTCCACACCCCCTGAAAGGTGCAACTTTGTACGATAGCTGACTAGTCTGCGTTAGCTAAGATATACAACTTGTTGCTCTGACATTTAATGAGTAGGCAAACTCACAGCAGTAGTAAAGTCCCCATTTTGGGGCTATAGGTATACAGCGTCCACAAACCCAACACATTGGTTTATATAGCATTTATCATTATTATCTTACTGTCCATTTAAATGAACCAAATAAAACTTGACACGTTACAATAATAGCCTTGCCCTTAACAACAGTTACTGGGAGTTCAGACTCGGCAGTTGTTATTGTAGTTTCTTCAAGCTTTAAAGTCAAGCTTCGACAGCCACAAATGTGAATCAGTGTGTTGGCTTGACTGGAGCAGTCTCTTCCACAAAGCCAGCTTCAAAGCTCACAGGTAATATGGATAAGTAATGCAAGTATTTGTAAATGAGTTTAAAAGAAAATTACTGCATGAAAAAGGTCAGACAGAGGAGTGTGCCACGTGTTTTGTTTTGCTGATAAGGAAGTAAAAAGAAGCTGATGCTCTATCGTGACGGTATGTGTCGTCTGGCTGGCTCCGTGAGCTGCGTGTATGTGGGTGCGTCAGGGTTGGCTCTGGATGTGTCGACGCAGCTCCTGGGCTTTGTCCTTCAGGTCGGGTCTGCTGTCCGACTGCAGCGTTGACAGGGAGCGCTGCAACTGCTGCCGGCTCTTCACAGACACACAGTCCCACTGCTCGCTCTCTGTTAATGTCACACAGGCACAAGAAGATTTCCCTCAGTGACACTTGGATCACTAATCTATACATACACTATAATACAACATATTACGATATATGATACAACAATTGCTTTGCATTGGAATCCACAGTCTTCCACCATCTGTGGTTAGAATCCATGTTGTGGCAGTACATCCAATATTTGTGATATATATCTCAGTCAAGTATTGTGGGCTGCCTGACATTGCCATCCCCTGACCCACAACCTGAAACCATTTGCACTCTGACAATGGAAACAATGTGCAAAAGTATATCATAGTATTTAAAACATTTCTAACTGCCTAAATTTATAGGCACATTAGACTGCACACCTCCTCCTGGAAATATATATATACACGCATGCAGAAAACCGGGCTCTACTTTCATTTGCTCATATTCCAACTGAACTTAGTAGCCATAAATATTTACCTCCAGTTCTCTTTACGATCAGATCCACCACTGACAAAGCCTCTGTCCTCACAGAGGAATAACTTTTGTTTTCTGGATAGAAAAACAACACAAATATTGTGATGAAATGCAGGTGTCTTAGTCAAGAATTCAGTACACTGAATTGTGAGGCCCTTACCTAAAGGGTAAGTTAGAGAAGCACAGGTCTCTGTCAGGATCTGCGATAATGCTTTGAAGTCTTCACTGCCTTTCTCTAGCAGCAATAACCTGCAGAGAAAAGCAGCTCACGTTTATACACTCAAAAAAATGTTATTTATTATAGGCTATTATTATTATTATTATAAGACTTATTTCAAAGAACACATTACAAGAAAATGTTAGTGGGGCTGGTCTTTGTTTGGTCCTTACCCCTGGAAGTATGCCTTCATGGACTGTAGGACAGCAAGCTGGACTTTCCAGGTGCTTAGCTTGAGCTTCTCACACATTAGACTGCACACCTCCTTCTGGAAACGAGCTACAGACAGACACAATGTTCAGAACATTTCTTCGCAAGGGCCACTTATCAGGTCCCCAGCAGCCCACACACCCGTTTAGCCTACATCACTGGGAGTAATACACTGGCAGTTCTGCCACTGAGCTTAAGCCCCTGACAATGTGTGGGAGTCTCTTCAAGTTAAGATTTTAGGAGGTGGTGGAGTGAATGGGAGAAATATTGGCATGGTATTGGACTGGTATGAAGTAGCTTATATTTTTGCCTACATGACATTTGGCAAACTATAAACCTTGCTCACTTGTCTTCAATGAATATGTGAACAGTCCTTGTGAATAATAGACAAAAATGTTTAAAAAGGACCACTATGTTTTGGATAATCTTTAGTACTAGAAGAATACTAGAAAAGCAATATGTCTACAAATCAATACACACATCTTAAAGTGCAATGAAACCAATGGAGAGAATGTAAGAATTCATAATCATAGCAACAATGCCAACATACAATACATGTATTCTATCTCAGATAAACCAAACTACATACTATTTAGAGTGATTTATACTCACTGCAGGAAACATATGGACTAAGCTAAATCAAACTAGCTTTGACTGCAAAAGGTCTAAAATTTAAAGACAGTACACTTTCCATCAATTGATCCACCCATCTCTACTGATGACAAAAATAATAGTTTGGATCCAATTCTATACGCAAAGTGTAGTAACATGAGGACCATCACAAAGTGGGGCGAGGTCAAGTTTCAGGGTTCAAAAGGAGCAGGCCTGCCACATGAGAGTGAGTCCAGCAAGGTGTTCAACTTCTAAAACAGGGTAAAAGAAAAATACTTTTGTGGGAATGTTAACTATTGTCCAGGATTATATTTTGTGTCCAGTTTAGGGTTTATTCATTTCCCTGATCCAGTGGACTTTCTTTATCTGGGCAGTAGGGGTGTAACGGTACATTTATTCGTACCGGACCGTTTTGGTGAATGCAGTCTTTAATGTCAGATATTAGGCTTATTTTGTGTGTGGAACATACGAAAATTCCAAGTTTCCACACGGACATATTAAGAGGTGGACAAAATCTCCACCTTACAGCACTATACAAGCAGTAGCTTTAGAACTAGCCTCTCGCTAACTAGTGATTTAAGAATCATGGCCAGTGCAGAGAAGCCAGAGCTTGAAAACCCTCCCTTAAGGTCTTCTGTTTGGGAACACTTTGGTTTACAGTGAAATACAACAACGGACAAGTTGATAAGATGAAAGCAGTGGGCCAACACTTCTCAGTAGTGATCGGGTAATATGGTTCTGCCAACAGGTCAAACTTGCTAACTCAGTAGTGGTATCACACAAAAGAGAATGTCACTACAACAAGGGAAAAATAAGAAGAATGCGGCACTGTAATCCATATTATTATATATTTTTTATTACATTTTATGAGCTATATATGGTATTGTTTTGACAATATTTTATTTAGTGGAGAACTTGTTAGTTTCCAGTAGTATTTTATTTCTTTTTATTTGATATAATTTATTTATTATGTGTAATTTGGAAGTTTGTTTAAAAATTGTTAAGTAATTTGGATGTTTACAAAAGTTCATAATAAACCAGCAGCAATTTAATGTTTGCATTTTTTTACTGTACCGAAAATAAACCGAACCGTGACTTCAAAACCGAGGCACATACCAAACCGGGATTTTTGTGTACCGTTACACCTCTACTGAGCAGTGGTCCAAGTTGTATGTGTTCTGGGGACAAGCTGTAAATTACCCTGAGTCTCCGGGTTCCTGGGCCAAGTCTTTCCAAGAGTCTCGAAAGCACAGAGCAGAGCTTCTGTC